ACAGAAGGAGGGTTTGATCATGCTGCACCTTGGCACTTTGAGCCCTGAGCCTCTGGTAGGTAGAGAGTCTGGGAACACCTCACAGTCCCACCTGAGTACCCAATCCCTCTCAGTCCTCCCAGCTAGACTGAAAATCAATGGGAAATGTAGATTTTTCCCTCTACTAAAATCCCTGGATCACACGTATGCACAAGAGACAATACAGCCATTACTCATTTGAAAATGGCAACTTTCCCTGCGTGTTGCTTGGCACACACAAGAGTCACCACAGCTGCTACTGATTTCACAATAGTGGCTTTTCCCCATCCATTGCCACATGAGTGTACCCAAGGTTATACAGCCACTACTTCTGTCAATATGGTGCCCTCTCCCAGCTGGTTGCCAGGTGCCATTGTTGGGGGATAGGGAGAGATAAATGTGCCCATTTTTGCTGTGTTAAGGGGGGTACACTGTCCTTGTTTGAACTCCAAGCCACATTCACACCAAGATGTCACTCCAGCTGTATCACCTATGGCATGGATACCCACAGTCTGCTCTCACCTTGCTCTCTAAAGCTATTGCTTCCTCCAGCTCTTATCTGCAGGGGTCATGTCCTTGATGCATCTGCACCTTCCATGTGGATCATTGGCATCCCTCTTCCTGCTGTAGAATTTCCCCTGCAGGTTTCTCTCCAACTCTTCTTGTGTGAATGCCCTTTCCTCCACTTTTTTGCTACTGTTTCTTCCTAGCACAAAGCGGTATGTCCTTTCCCTATTCCACCATCATAAGAAGCTCAAATATTTAAATTTTTTTTTAGAAAACCACAGTGGGAGAACATGCTGTTCCACTTGGAAAGATTATTATCAAAACATAATAAGAATGGAATAGTAGAGGTCGGAGGAAGAAGGGTGGGAGTACAGGGGGGAAGAATCACTATGTTTCTAAATTTGTGTATATGAAATGCATGAAGTGTGTATACCTTTATCTTATTGGCCACCAGAGCTGCCTGGCACATCTTGGATAGAGGATGTCTCCTTGTTGGCACCTGACAGCTTGGCTTTGGTGGCCAGGACACAGGTGATCCAGCCCCTGAGGTGAGGTCCTCCTTCATGCCACAAACCTTGTCCCTGAGGAACTCCATCAGCAAGATCATGTTGGAAACAGGCAGCAAAATCGTGAGGGATTAGTGGAAGTGTGTCTCAGAGATCACCTCTACTTGCTGCTCCATTGTGGAGTCACTGTCTCTGGAGGGACAGTCCATCCCAGAGAGCAGAGACCTTGAGGGAACCCCAAAGCCCAGTGCTGAGCAAGAGCCTGGGAGGCTGTCAGAGAAGATGTTGCACCTAGAGACAATGCTCAGGAAGCTACAGGAGAACTTACAGAAGAAGGCTGGCAGGGCTGCCCTGGAGGAGGAGGTGCAGAGACAGAGGCACAACCATCAGAGGCTGCAGGCTTAATCAGAGAGTGCAGACATCCTCCTGCTCCTGGACAGCAAGCAGCCAGGTTTCCCCATGACCAACCTGGCCTGAGGCAGCCATGGACCTGCCTAGGCCCCACCAGCCCTGGGCCTTCCCCAGGAACCCCTCCCTGTGTTGACCTGCATCTAAGCAGTGTTCCCACTCCCTGGCCTCTTGTTTAGTGGCAAAGTTGCTACACCCATCCTAGTTTGTAAATATTCTGTGTGGAAAAGGGGACTTCAGGGAGTCAAGAAGCCACTGCCAAAAAAAAAAAAACACCAAAGGTCAACCAACATGGGGTTACCCATCTCAGGTAGTGGACTCAATAGTACACACACTCAGATGTGCGTGCCTAGTATGCGTAGTAAGTAATGTGCCTTCCTACCAGTTATGGCCCTATGTTTCTGGGCCCAGGAAGAGGAAATGCAGAGTGGCAAGGGCTGAAAACTACACTGCAGAAAAGTTGTGCTCTGAGCATTTCAGGCATGGAAAGCAAAGACACTGTGACAAAAAATGAGCTACATGAAAGATCTCTGTGAGGGAGAACCCAATGGAAAGAAGGGACCATCAAAGAAGGAGGTACCTTTCCCTGAAGGGAGAGAGAACTTCCACTTTGATTATGTCCTGGTCTAAATGATGTCTGCGTTTGTGGACTCAAGAGGCTTCCATAGCCTTGGCAGTTCATACCAAGAGCCTCAGGTGATCACTGACCTCATAAATAAGTGTCAATTGTTAAATCAGCAACAGGATTCACTGTGCACTTGCTCCCCATGAAGGACCTCTGTCCTTAATGAGTTGTACTATGAGAATTAACTGTAGAACTAGTCTTCAAATGATACTTTATACTTTGTGTGTCTGTGTGGGTGCAAACTGTTAAATCTTTACTTAGTATGTACTAAGTTGATCTTCTGTATATAACATAATTAAAAATGAATCTAGCCTGTGATGGGAGAGGGAGTGGAGGTGCAATGGTTTTGGAGGTGGGAGTGTGGGTATGTGGGGAAGAACCATTTGCTACAATCCAAAGTTGTACTTATGAAATTTATATTTATTAAGTTGTGCTCTGAAGCAGAATGTGTTAGATGCTAGTCATTCTGCCCACATTGAGCGAGATGGAAGTGTAGGGACCCCCCCATTTTGCTATCATCCCCATCTTTCTCTTATTTCCTAACCTTGTCCTCCTGATTTTGATAAGGAGTTAAGGATTGGATTGGATTTTTGGGAGCAATGATAAGGATTGGATTTTTGGGAGCACTCCTATACATCTCCTTTTTGGCCCAAGTTTCATCCCACTGCTTATCACCAACAATCAGCCCAGGAGAATTCCCTCTCTGGCGTCTCCCTCTCTCCACACTAATGAGGGGCAGAGCAACTTTTGTTACCTCATATTTATGGAGATATATGTGAAAGGGCTTTAGAAAATGAGTTAGCTTGGAGCCAGCACCATGGTGCAGTAGGTTAATCATCTGCCTGAGCTGACGGCATCCCATATGGGTGCCAGTTACTCCTGGCTGCTCCTCTTCCAATCAAGCTCTCTGCTATGGCCTGGGAAAGCATTGGAAGATGGCCCAAGTCCTTGGGCCCCTGTACCCAGTGGGAGACCTGGAAGAAGGTCCTGGCTCCTTGCTCCTGGCTTCAGATTGGCATAGCTCTGGCCATTGCAGCAATTTGGGGAGTGAACCAATGGAAGGAAGACCTTTCTCTCTGTCTCTCCCTCTCATTGTCTATAATTCTACCTCTCAAATAAATAAAGAAAATCTTTTAAAAAAATAAAAGAGAATGAGTTAGCTGAACTGGGGAACTGGTGTATTCTCACATCTCCTGATTTCTACATCACACCTCAGTTCTAGGTGCCAACATTCTAATGGTATCCATGGCCTTTCATCACTCTGCCTATGATAGGCCAAGGTACATGTTACCCCAAGAAAAAGGACTATATCATATAGCCATTTCTTCTCTGTCCTATTTCCCCTGATTACTCTTGAACCTACACCATGGAACCATTTCCCTGATGGGTGGGGCTACTCACTGCCCAGGTGGGTGGGGCATGTTTATGTCATAAGGGACACTGTGACACAGGCTGGCCTATGAAAGCAGCTATAGTCCTGGACCCTTACCAGTCACTGGTTCTATTGCTAGGAGCCTCTCCTAAAAACATGACAGGTAAGCCTCAATAATTCTTGCCTCCCAATGCCATCTTCCCCTTTATTCCTTATCTTCCCTCCAGCCTGACCCTCCTGATCCTGTAGCCCGCCCATGTGTCTGGTCCTCCACCCCAGCCTGACCCTACTAGCTCTGTGTTTGAGCCTTACCATCCTGCTTTTCCATACTGGCCTCATCCTCCTCCGGGCCCTCCACCAGCCCAACTATCCAAGTCAGCCATACCATTGTTACTTTCCTTCTGTCCCTTCACACCAGGCAAAAACCCCAGATCCTGCATCTTGGACTCACCCTCCTCCTAGAGCCCTCCCCATATCCACTTTCTTTTCTCCCCCTGGACCCTCCTCTGGGTTCAGTATTTGAGCCTTTTCCTCCTCCTGCTCCTCCATACTGGCCCTACTCTCCCTCTGATCATCCTGCACCCCAGCCAGGTCCTGCTCCTGCTCCTGCACTTCCTGCTCATACTCCTGGGCTTCCACATAAGGCTCATCCTACTATGAAGTCCTCACTCAAACCTCATCCCCCTTCTCATCCTAAACACCAACCTTGCCTTTCTTCTTTCTCTGAACAGAACCCCACCCACCTTATTCAGGAAAATGCAGTCTTCCGTTGAGGGATTAAAAACTGCATGTCCCTTAGACAAGTCATAGCTGTAAGGATAGGCAATCTGTTTCCATTGTTATTGAGTCAGCAAGTTGTCCTGTGATTGAGATGTCCTGAAGCTTTTAGTTTTCTTCTGGCATCTTTGTCCCAGACTGGACAAAAACAGGCCCCCAGTTGAAAGGGCACCAAAACTAAGATGGATTGAAATTCCATTTACTCCATAGAGACCTGAGGCACTGAAGTGCTGATTCCATTGGATAGATGACATTTAGATATGCAGTTATCTTTGGCTGGATTTACAAATATTGATATAATGATTAGCAACTCTCCATGCAATAGTTCCCAGGGCAAAACCATTGGCTTGTTCTGTTTGTTTATAAAAGTAGCCACATGTCAAGGCTGATGTTTCAGTGGAGTTTTCAAGTCCCTGAATTCAGAAGGTTGATTCTCTTATTGATAGTCAGCCTGTCTCCACAGTTGCTACCATGGTCATACTGTATCAAATCTGTACAGGAAATCTCTTCAGAGTGTTGCAACATCATCATAGGATTTGATAAACAGGCATCCCAAAACTTGAGTCTCATCCAAGCAATTGGTCATCACACATCACACAACTGTAGACTGGGGCTTTGATGAAATGTTTGCTTCCAACAGGAGTATCATGCTATGCAATCTGTAGCACTTGGTTGCTATTGAGGTCCTAAATTTTGACACTGCTATATCAAAATGCAACACACTGATGTGTGTGTGTGTGCGTGTGTGTATACACCTCCAAAATCTTTTTCAGCAGATTGGCTTACATGAGGTCTTGTCAGCAGGTAACTACTTCCTGCTTCTGCCACACAACCCAAGCCCTGTTCTCTGGTATCCAGAAGTGGCCCAGTGGCAGAGTCAAATCTGAGGTGCTGGGTCAGGTGAGTTCAGAGCTAGAATGGGACAGAGATGGAATGGGACCCAGTCACAAAGTAAGGTCATGACAGGAGGTATTTTCAGTAAAACAGTGCACAAATATATGCCACTAGGGATACAGAAGACAGAATGTTTTTTTTTAATGCCTATTTGTTTACATTTCCTTGAAAACCAACCAACAATGAGGTAGAGAAAGAGACAGAGAGAGTTCCAGCTGCCAGTTTTCTCCCCCAAAGTACAACAACTAGGGCCAAGCCTGGCTGAAGCCAGTAGCCTGGAACAATGTAGAGTATGCAGGTGGCCCATTTGCTCTATTCTTTCTAGCTGAGTATACTAATATTATTATAATAAATGCTCTCTCAGAGACATCCTATTTTTAGGCTCATTTCATAGCCACACTAATCCAGAAATGTTTACAATTAATTTTGCTGTAAAAATCCTCCTACTAACAATGTCATTCCTATGAATTTGAGCATCCTACCCTCAATTTCATTATGAGCAACTCATACAACTCCTATGAAAAAGTTTCTACCTCTTACCATAGCTCTATGCATATGACACATCTCCGTACCAGTATACTTTCAAACATTCCCCCTCACATATAGAAATATGTCTGACAAAAGAGTTACTTTAATAGAGTAAATAATAGAGGTTTAAGCCTCATTTCTAGAACTATAGGCCTTGAACCTAATCCTAAGAACTCAAATTCTTCATGCTACCTGATACACCAAAATTCTATAGTAAGGTCAGCTAAATAAGCTATCAGGCCCACACACCGAAAATGTTGGTTTATATCCTTCCCATACTAATTAACCCCCTAGTCCTAACTATTATTCTAGTCACCCTGTTCCTAGGCACAATAATTACAGTATTTAGCACCCCCTGATTAACCATATGAATTGCCTAGAAATAAATATATTAGCCATTATTCCAATTTTAATTAACAAAGCCCCACCATGATCAACAGAAGCTGCAACTAAGTATTTCTTAACACAAGCCACAGCATCAATAATCTTAATAATAGTAATTACACTTAACATTCTTGACTCTGGCCAATGAACAATAATCCACAAAATCACTTTACCCCAATCTTAATTATATTAGCATTAATCATTAAATTAGAAATAGCTCCCTTTCACTTCTGAGTCCCAGAAGTAACCCAAGGGGTCCCCCTAAGCACTTGGGCCATCTTCTGCTGACCTTCCCAGGCCATTAGTGGGGAGTTAGATTGGATGTTGAGTAAGCTGGTTCAAGAACTAGTGCCCATATGGAATGCTGGCATCTCAGGCAGCAGCCTTCCCCATGACACCATAATGATAGCCCTTCATTTCACCACTTTGTATTTTAAATGAATATAAATCTAATAAATCGATCTTCTGTAAATAAAGATAATTGAAAATGAATCTTGATGTGAATGGAATGAGAGAGGGAGCAGGAGATGGGAGGGTTGCAGGTGGGAGGGAAGTTTTGGGGTAAAAGCCATGTAATCCATAAGCTGTACTTTGGAATCTATATTTACTAAATAAAAGTTAAATAATATATATATATATATGAAATCTAAAAAAAAACAAAAAAACAAAAAACAAAATCAGGACTCATTCTTCTTACATGACAAAAACTAGCACCCCTATCTGTCCTTTACCAAATCTCACCATCAATCGACTCAACCATAACAATGTTAGTAGCCGTCCTATCAATTATAGTCGGTGGCTGAGGAGGGCTTAACCAAACCCAGCTCCACAAAATCTTAGCCTACTCCTCAATTGCCCATATGGGATGCATGGTAGCCATTATTACATTTAATCCAAATACTATAATTCTCAATCTAATTATTTATATTCTATTAAAATTCCCATATTCATAATATTTATATATCACACAAGCACAACTACCCTTTCACTATCACAAATATGAAATAAAACCCCACTAATAGTTTCAGCCATCCTAATTACCTTAATATCACTAGGAGGCCTACCCCCACTAACAGGCTTTATCCCTAAGTGAATAGAGCTAACAAAAAATGGCAATATCATCATACCCACCACAATGGCTATATAGCACTTCTAAATTTATACTTCTATTTACGCCTCATCTACTCTTCCTCACTGACAATATTCCCAACAACCAACGTAAAAACAAAATGGCAATTCAAATCAATGAACACATACTATTTATAGCCCCACTAATCATTTTATCAACAATATTTCTTCCCCTCACACCAATATTTTTCAGTACTAAGCTAAACTTAGAAGGATTTTATGTTACACAGACCCAGAGCCTTCAAAGCTCTAAGCAAGTAAATTATATTTAACTCCTGCCTTAAAGACTGCAAATTAACTTCACATCTTCTAAATGCAAATCAGGTGCTTTAATTAAGCTAAGTCCCCCTAGATTGGTGGGATCCAACCCCATGAAATTTAGTTAACAGCTAAATACCCTGGTCAACTGGCTTCAATCTCCTTCTCCTGCCATAAGGAAAAAAATGGCGGGAGAAGCCCCAGCAGAATTGAAGCAGCTTCTGTGAATTTGCAATTCAACATGAAAATTTCACCTCAGGGCTTAGTAAAGAGGGCTAAACCTCTGTCTTTAGATTTACAGTCTAATGCTTACTCAGCCATTTTACCAATGCTTCTGTTTATTAACCGATGATTATTCTCTACCAACCATAAAGACATCGGAACTCTCTATCTCCTATTTGGAGCCTGAGCTGGAATGGTAAGAACAGCTTTTAGTCTGTTAATTTGAGCAGAATTAGGCCAACCAGGAACTTCACTTAGAGACGACCAAATTTATCATGTAATCATCACTGCACATGCCTTTGTAATAATTTTCGTCATAGTGATACCTATTTCAGAAACGGGTTAGTCCCACTAATAACTGGATATAGCTTTCCCCCGTATAAACAATATAAGCTTTTGACTCCTCCCACCATCCTTTCTTCTTCTGTTAGCTTCATCAATAGTAGAAGCCGGTGCAGGTACAGGCTGAACTGTTTACCCCCCACTAGCGGTAACAGCCCATGCAGGAGCCTCGGATGATTCTAACTATGTTTCTCTTCACTTGGCTGGGGTGTCCTCTACTCTAGGGGCCATTAATTTTATTGCAACTATCATCAATCTAAAACCCCCTGCTATATCTCAGCATCAAACCCCCTTATTCGTATGATCTGTTTCTCATAACAGCCATTCTTCTTCTTTCCCTGCCAGTTCTAGCCGCTGGCATTACAATACTCTTAATGGACCAAAATCTAAACACAACATTTTTTGACCCTGTAGGAGGAGGAGACCCTATCCTCTAGCAACACTTATTTTGATTCTTCAGACACCCTGAAGTATATATTCTTATCCTTCCAGGATTTGGAATAATTTCTCATATTGTAACATATTTTTCTGGCAAAAAAGAACCATTTGGCTACATGGGAATAGTGTGGGCTATGATATCAATTGGTTTCCTTGGGTTTATCGTTTGCGCTCACCACATACTCACAGTAGGAATGGTTTGGATACACAAGCCTATTTCACATCAGCTACTATAATTATTGCCATTCCTACGGGAGTAAAGGTATTTATTTGATTAGCAACCCTACATGGTGGAAATATTAAGTGATCCCCAGCCATATTTTGAGCTCTGGGGTTTATTTTCTTATTTACAGTAGGTGGCCTTACAGGAATTGTACTAGCCAACTCTTCCCTAGATATTGTTCTCCAAAGTGGTAGCCCACTTCCACCATGTCTTATCCACAGGAACTGTATTTCCCATTTGGGGGGGGGGGGTGATTCACTCATTGATTCCCTCTGTTCTCAGGCTACACTCTGAACCCTACTTGGGCCAAAATCCACTTCACTGTAATATTTATAGGAGTGAACTTAACTTTCTTCCCTCAACACTTCCTTGGACTCTCTGGCATGCCCCGATGATATTCATATTACCCAGATGCCTATAAAATGTGAAACACTGTTTCATCAATGGGCTCCTTCATCTCCCTCACTGCTGTAATTGTAATAATTTTCATAATCTGGGATGCCTTTGCCTCAAAGCGAGAGGTAGAAACTATTGAGTTAACCACTACAAATCTAGAGTGACTTCACGGATGTCCACCCCCCATATCATACATTCGAAGAGCCTGCTTACATAAAAGCCTAGGCCAAGAAAGGAAGGAATTGAACCCCCTAAGACTGGTTTCAAGCCAGCTGCATAACCATTCTGACTTTCTCAATAAGATATTAGTAAAACTAATAATAATGAGATTATGAACAGGAAAAGATCATGCTCTCTATATTGTTGCATAATAAGATCATTATAAAATGGATATCAATGTTTTGACAGAAGGGAAACAGTCTAGATTTGTGCGTGTTTGTGTATGTGTGTGTGTGTGTGCACATGCGTGTGTGCATGCATGTATGTGTGCTCATGTTGACAGTAGGCAGAGGGGTTTTGGGATATGGGTACCTAACTTGAAGATAAGGTAACTTCTGCAAATCATTTATAGCCCTTTTTTTTTTTTGACAGGCAGAGTGGACAGTGAGAGAGAGAGAGACAGAGAGAAAGGTCTTCCTTTGCCGTTGGTTCACCCTCCAATGGCCGCCGCGGCCAGCGCGATGTGGCCGGCGCACCGCGCTGATCCAATGGCAGGAGCCAGGAGCCAGGTGCTTTTCCTGGTCTCCCATGGGGTGCAGGGCCCAAGCACCTGGGCCATCCTCCACTGCACTCCCTGGCCACAGCAGAGGGCTGGCCTGGAAGAGGGGCAACCGGGACAGAATCCGGCGCCCCGACCGGGACTAGAACCCGGTGTGCCGGCGCCGCTAGGCGGAGGATTAGCCTAGTGAGCCGCGGTGCCGGCCTTTATAGCCCATTATTGATGCATGTGAGTATCAGCAATAAAGCAGGTCCCACCTCTGTGGTATGAGGGAAAGGTATTCTGTGGTGGGACCCAAGGTGGGCAGCTCTACAACATAGAGACTAACATGACACCAGGCTTATGTCACACAGAAGGCTACATTATAGTCCCCAAAGACAAGACTTATGGGTGAGATATCAGGGTAGAAGGTTAATAAAGAGAAGTATGTGGGTGCAGCAGAGTGTAGAATATGTTTTGAAAGATTTCATGTGGGCTCATGTAAGCAAATATTGGGAAGCTGTCCTCAAATCAGGTTTAAAGGAGGCATCCCGTGGAGCTGTACTCAATGCATAGAATCAGAGTTGTTCCATACAATGCATGTTTCACGTGCATTCCTCCCTGATATAAGTATGTCCTGAACTATACTTGTTCTTCACAATTGTGTGAGGAAAGAAACAAGTGGAGTATATAGTGAGAAAGGACACACATGAGTTGATGTTTAGGGGTTTATTAAACCAGAGCTGGCCCACCCCTTCATAGAAGTTGTACTGGTACTAGCATTAAAATAACCTCTTTTTAAACATATTTATTTCATAAAGAGAACAGATTTCACGTAGTTCATATATACAATTTTAAACCTGCAATGATTCTTCCCACTTTCACTGACTCCTGCTTTCCCTCCCTCCTTCCTCCTGCCTTTTTCCTTTCAATATTATTTATTTTTTTAAAGCAAGAGTTAGGAAGAGAGAGAGAAAGAGAGATCTTCCATCTAATGGGTCATTTCCCTGATGGCCACGATGGCCAGGCTGGGCCATGCCAAATGCAGGAGCCAGGAGTTTCATCCAGGTCCCCCACATGGGCTATCACAGTCCAAACACTTGAGCTAATCTCTGCTGGTTTTCCCAGGCCTTTAGCAGTTGTTGCACACAGGACATAAACCAGAACCCATATGTGATGCTGGTGGCCACACAACACTGAACCCCATACATTCAATTCACTTCATGCTCATCAGTTTAATTCTGCACTAATTAACAATTCAACAAGAAAAATACAAAGACCACTGTTGCACAAAAGTATATAAGGATTATTAAAAAATTATCAAATATAAAGCTGTCAGTTTCACTCATATACATTAAAATAGGGGGTACAGATGACCCTTTCATATGCTGATTTCATTTCCTTTGGATAAATTTCCAAGGGTGCAATGACTGGGTCAAATGGTAGATCTATATTCAGATTTTTGAAGAATCCCCATACTGTCTTCCACAATGGCTGTACTAGTATACATTCCCACCAACAGTGGACTAGGTACCTTTTTCTCCCACATATTCACAAGCACTTTTTCTTTTTCCTTTTAAGTTTTGGTTGATAGCCATTCTAACTTAGGTGATAAAAATTGCTTGTTTCATTGAGTACAGCTCCATGGGATGCCTCCTTTAAACCTGATTTGAGGACAGCTTCACAATATTTGCTTCCATGAGCTCACATGAAATTTTATCTGCATTTCCATGATGGTCATTTGTCCATGTGTCTGTTGTATTTCATCCTTTGAAAAATGCCTTTTCATTTCCTTTGCCCATTTATTCACTGGGTTATTTGTTTTGTTGTGGTTCAGTTTGTTTTTTTTTCTTTCTTTCATTTTTTTTTTTTTGACAGGCAGAGTGGATAGTGAGAGAGACAGAGAGAAAGGTCTTCCTTTTGCCGTTGGTTCACCCTCCAACGGCCAGCACGGCTGGCGTGCCGTGGCCGGCACACCACGCTAATCCGAAGGCAGGAGCCAGGTGCTTCTCCTGGTCTCCCATGCGGGTGCAGGGCCCAAGCACTTGGGCCATCCTCCACTGCCTTCCTGGGCCACAGCAGAGAGCTGGCCTGGAAGAGGGGCAACTGCAAAAGAATCTGGCGCCCTAACCTGGACTAGAACCCTGTGGTCCGGTGCTGCTAGGTGGAGGATTAGCCTATTGAACTGCGGTGCCAGCCTGGTTCAGTTTCTTGAGCTCCTTATATATTTTGTGTCTTAATTGGTTATCAGGAGGATAGTTTGTAAATATTTTCTACCATTCAGCCTGATTCCTTTTCTCTTTGTCGAGTGTTTCCTTTGCTGCTCATAAACTTCCTAGCTCAAGCTAAGAAGTTTAGAGCTTCTTCTGGGTCTCACACGTGGGTGCAGGGGACCAAGGACTTGGGTGATCTTCTATTGCTTTCCCAGGTACATTAGCAGAGAGCTGATTCAGAAGTGAAGCAGCTCAGTCTCCAACCTGTGTGCATATGGGATGCTAGCATCACAGGCAGAGGTTTAACCTGCTACACTACAATGCTGATGTCATCTATTTGCCTTTTGTAATTCATCCTTTGAAAAATGCCTATTTATGTCCTTTACCCATTTCTTCACTGGCTTCCTTGTTTTGTGTATACTGAGTTTCATGGGGTCCTTATTACTCCTACATACTAATCCTTTATTAGTTGACTAGTTTGCAGATATTTTCTCCCCTTCTATCAGTTGTTTCTTCATGTTGCTGTTTCCTTTGCTGTTCAAAAGCTCCTTAGTTTGATGTAACCCCATTAGCTTATTTTCCTTTTATTACCTGTGTGTCTGGCTTCATAATGACATAGAACACGGCTTTTAATGTGACAGATTGAAAACAAATCTACATTGTGTGTGTGTGCTTCATGCATGCATGTTGACAATAGGCAAATAGGTTTTGGAAGGTTTTCAACATGGAGAAATTTCTGACTCTTTCTCAAATCTTTTATAGGAAATGAATGATGAAGGTGAATGCTACCAATGAAGCACCTATCCACCTGTATGGTATGAAGGAAAAGCATTCTGAGGTGATAAAAAGGTGTTCCATTGTGCAACACAGAGATTGGAAAGCTGCAGTACATACATAAGATGAAGCATTCAAACAGAACTGAGAAGTAAGATATTGGTGGTCAAGATTGTAAAAAGGAAAGTGTGAGTGGTGGCGTAGGGTTCCAGTGAATTTTGGAAATTTCATGTGAGCTCATGTAAGCAGACACTGGGAAGACATTCCCTTAAACAGGTAAGATCTGGACCATGGCTCCAGGACACAAAGAATTAGGAGGTTGTTCCATACAGTGAATGTGTTCAACAGTATTCCTCCTGATGTAAGGGAATCCTGAAATATGCTTGTACTGTAGTGGTGAGGGAGTGAGAGGATGAAACATTTGAAAGCTGGGGCCAGTTGCTTCCTTTGAGGCAGATGTACAAGTGCTTGTGTTAAAATGAGAGGATATGTGACTGAATTAAGTTCACAAATAGATAAACAGGAAAATGGAGAGTTTTATCTACTTATGTATTGATAGGCTTGTTTATTTGATTAGCTAGAAACATATTGGCATTGAATTTTATTTCTGCAGGGCCACCTTGTGCTCCCATGGAGATCCCTTCCATTATTCTTAATGTTTCAGTTCACCCACTCTTGACTTGGAGCTGTCTACTGCTCTTAAGCCCAGGTCTTTCTTCCTTTCAGTCATGGTCAATACTGCCCTCAGGCATTAGAGGGTGCCTGAGGCAAAGGGTGGATTTGCACATGCCTGCAAGAATGCAGTGAATGCACCTAAGGGGGTTGAGGATGGGTCCAAGGGCTCCTTATTGTGGAACCTCTCAGGTCAGCTCCTCCATAATGACATCTGAGGTTCACAGAGACCTACACATCAGCCATAATGAGTGCCCCCACATTGATCTTCACACAAAGTCAGGAGCCTCAGCACTGTGAGCACAGGTTTCCCATGAGAGGACAGAGGCAGGAACCATGTCCTGTACAGGAATATGGGTCATGTGCATGAAGAGTGAGAAGACCCAACCTGCCTTGCTTCTTTGGTGCAGAATATGAGGCTATGGGGCTTTATGTGTGCTGCTCCCAAGGGCTGAGCTGCAGAGGAGCAAAGTGTGTTCATGCCACTGCCCCATGTCAACTCCTCACTGCTCTGCAGCTCAACAGGCCCTACCAGGTTCTATCCCAAGTTGTGAGACCTGGAGAGGAGTGGGGATGGGTGAGTGGAATGTTCCCTGGGGAATCGTGAGTAGGGAGAATCCTTCCAGCTTCTTCCCCACCATTTTGATGAAAGCTAGTAATCCTGCAGTGTAAAATAAATCTAATGTACCTTGTCTCCCTTGGGCTGGAAATTTACATCTTAACTTGCACAGTATATTGTGGAATATTTTTATTCTGGAATAGGAAGTCTTACCTCACTGAGACTCCAGCATTTGAAGAGGGAGTTAATTTGTTTGTTTTCCTTGTTCTTCAACCCTCAGAATCACATTGATATCTTACAGATACAGGAAGACAGTTGGGATGCACTCTGGAATGTCTTACCTAGTAGACCTGGGGGTGGCCATGGCATTCAGCTCCACATGTATTGAGTAGGAGCCTCTGCCCAATTCTGCTTCCTTGTGTTTTTGGATTTCCATTCTTAATTTATTAAAAATTCAATTGAAATACCTTTTTCAGTCTTCAAAAAAAAAAAACACATAAGAGTTTCTACCACAAAACATCAATGTCTTTTTAAAAAGTATCATTTGGATTACTTTGCAAAATGTGTTTGAGCAGAAAACCCTAGAATTTTTGCCTGAAGCAACAACAGTCATAGCCCAAGAGCCATTGTAATAGGAGAGATTTGTGTGTAGGTCACCATCAAACTAGGGCAATTTAATGTTGGAATCCCAGATAAATGCTGAGTCATGGAGAAGAAAATGAAAACCTCAAATGAGATCATCCCATGACCATGAGAAACCAACACGGTTCTTAAATGGAGGAAAAGACTGTGATAAAAACACAGGTACTTCACAAGTGAAAAAATCATGCAAGGAGAATTTTCAACTTATCTCACACAGAAAGCAACATAGATAATAAAAAGATACTTGAAAAGCCAGTTTATAATTTGATATGTTGGAAACATAAAATCCTGTGCCCCAGAATTCAAAGATGCCTCTTCCTGTCAGGCACAAATTGAGTGTGAACAAGCCATCAACATGTAATAGGCAGTTCATCATGACCAAATATGCAGGGCACTTGAAATACAAGGGGTACCTGTAGTCTAACCTTGAGGAAGTTCTGTGTCAGTGCCTGTAGAAATGCATGATATTTTTCCTTGGCCTGCAAGACTAGTTGCATGCAGGTCTGGAGAAAATATTCAGAGAATATGACCTATTTGCTACCAATAGTAATTATTTATTTGAAAATACTTTTCAGATTTCCATATAAAATAGATTACAGTCATTCAGCTTCACCAGGTGCAGTGCCTTTTGATCTACAGTGCTTTGAGGCTCCCCAGTGAGTGATTATGACATCCAAATGTTCTGCATTTTCATGATTCTCCTTCTTTCAGACTCTGAATTTGAGGACATCAGCTGGAGCCCCTCTCTTTTGCCCAGTGTGGCTCTGGGATTTTGCCTCTGTCGTGTCATGCACAGTGAGATAAGGACAGGAAGAGTCCCCTTATCTGGCTTTCAGGACTGGACAAAGACATCCCACATTACAGCTGAAGGAGAGTGATACCTCTACTGTAGGAGTACTCTCAAGAACAAGAATTTCTGCTCATATTGGGACACCCCTGTATTCTAAAAATTACCACAGATGAAATTAGGTAAGAAGGGGAGAGAGAAAACTCACATTCATTCAGGTGATCTTCTCAGGTACACAAGAAGATGGTACACAAAGTGTCAGTTTTGTCCCTATAGATTACATTTTAGGTATTCAACTAATAACCACAACTCAGAAACCATATGATATTTATATTTTTGTGACTGGATAATTTCACTAAACATAATGATTTCCAGTTCCATGGTATTTTGATTGGTTTGCATGGAATCCATAAATTGCGTTCAGTAGTATGGATATATTGATGATATTGATTCTTCCAATCCATTAACATGAAATATGTTTCCATTTTTATGCATTCTTCTATTTCTTTCTTTAATGTTTTGTAATTTTCATCATAGACATCTTTAATGTCCTTTTTTTTATTCCAAGGTATTTAAATTTTTGTAGTTACTGTAAATGGAATTGATCTTAGAAGTTCTTTCTCAGCCGTGGGGCTGTTTGTGTATACAAAGGCTACTGATTTTGTGTGTTGATTGTATATTCTGCAATTTTACCAAACTCTTTTGTGAACTCCAGTCATCTCTTGGTGGAGTATTTTGGGTTCCTTATAGGGATAGTTTGGATTCTTCCTTACCTATTTCTATCCATTTGATTTCTTTTCCTTGCCTGATGGCTCTGGCTAAAACTTTTAGGACTATATTAAATAGCAAGGGTGCAAGTGGGCATCCTTGTCTGGTTACAGTTCTTAATAGGTATGCATGCAATTTTTCCCCATTCATTAGGTTATTGGAAGTGGGTTTGTTATAAATTGCTTTGATTATGTTGAGTGTTCCTTCTATTCCAATTGCTTAAGGTTTTCATCATAAAGGGGTGCTGAGTTTTGTCAAAGGCTTTCTCTGCATCTATGGAGATAATGATGTGGTTTTGGATTTCACTTTGTTAATGTGGCATATCACATTTATTGATTTTTGGATGTGGAACCATCCCTGCATACGAGAAATAAATCCCCTTTGGTCTAGGAGAATAATCTTTCTGATGTGTTGTTGGATTCGGGTGGCTAGTATTTTGCCTACGTTTATTGTGTCTATGTACATCAGGGATATTGATCTACAGTTATTTTTCAAATTGGTGCACAAAATCTAATTCAGTTTATTAGCCCATGAATTACTAGTGATAGTAATTAGCATAACTGCAGAAAAATATTTAATAAAATAAACAGAGATCTGTGATTTATAAACAAAGAAATAAAACAACCCATTAAATGCAAAAAAGAATGCTTTTGTGTCCTAAAGGGTATATTAAGATTGCTTAAGAAATGTGGAAATTGTGAGAAGGTTGGAAACAAAGTTGAAGCAAGAATGCTGTACACTACAACTTGTACTAGAGGCCCTCAGGGGGCTCTGCTCTGTGCATATTATTTTTTTAAAATTATTCTTTAATTCATTTGAAAAACAGAGTTACAGGGAGGCAGAGAAACAGAGAGAGGAGTCTCCATATGCTGGTTTATTCCGAAGATGGCCGCAATGGCTGGAGCTCTGCAAATCTGAAGCCAGGAGCATCTTCTGGGTCTCTCAGGCAGATGCAAGGACCCAAGTGCTTGGGCCATCTTTCACTGCTTCCCAGACCATAGCAGAGAGCTGGAATGGAAGCAGAACAGCTAATACTGGAACCAGCACCTATATTTGATACCGATGCCATAGAGAGTGGGTTAATCTACCATGCCACTGCTCTGGCCCATGATCCTCTTCTGTTCCACCTCTCTGCTGATGGCCTGGAAAATCAGTGGAGGACAGGCCAAGAGCTTGAGCCCCTTTACCCACTTGGGAGATTGGGAAGAAACCCCTGACTCCTGGCTATAGATTGGCTCATCTCTGGCTGTTGTGGCCATGTAGGGTGTGAACCAGCAGATGGAAGAGTTCCCACTGTCTCCATGTCATTCTTCCTCTATCTGTAACATGGTGATTCAAATGAATTAAATCAATATCTCAATCAATCAATAATCTTTCATTACAAATAGTGTGAGCCTTGGGAAGTTTTGAGGCCATGAGAGTAGGGAGCGAATCGCACCATTAAAGTAACGGTTGAGGGATGCTGCTATCTAGTGTTGAAAGAGAAGTGTGGGGAGCAACTGGGAGCAACTCGGACTAGACTAAGTTACTAGAATTAGGACTTATTCTATGCATCTGCTCTCCCACAATATGGCGCTGAGAAGGGAGAAACAGCTTCTACGCAGCTGCCTCCAGTTCAACCAATAAACTGTAGGACTTACTCCTGATTGGAAGAGAGCAGCGTACTCGGCGTGTGGGTAGCAGAGTTGGGATTGGCAGAAGAGGACTATAAAGGAGGAGAGAGACAACATGCACCAGGAACATCTAAGGGGAACATCTATCTGAGGGAACACCTGTGCAGCCCCCGAGAGAGCCGGCCGGCGGTGTGCCACTCTCCTGCGGAAGTGGGGAAAGTGGCTAGGGGGAACCGCCCTTCCACGGAGGTGGAAGGGACGGTAGCCAACCCAGGAAGAACCAGCAGCAAAACCGGGGAGGGCCGAGCAGACAAAAGAACAGCGCAGGGTCCTGTGTCGTTCCTCCATGAAGACGGGGAACGACAGAGAAGATGCAGCAAGAATCGGCCATGTACAAAGGCAGAGTAGCCTTCACCATGCATGGAATCCTCTAGATCATCACTTCCTGAACTCAAGAAACCATGGACAGCGAAGTTATGGTGTTACAAATGACACAGACTAATGTATTGTTTGAAGCATCATGAATAGGTTCAAAGAATTGGTCTTAGGGCTTTGTTAGGAGAAAAAGACAATATACACAAAAGTATGTAATATAAAATAGGGGGATGAAGTAATAGCAGCCTGTCTCACATGAGGAAGATGGGCATAATTAATTGCAAGTAATTTATCTATCATCTCTTCAAAAAGAGAAAAGGATAAGTTGCCTAATCAACTCTGTCAGTTATTCTAGAAGGTCCTTGTGAATCAGAAATAACTGAACGTGGGATGATGTTACTGTATGTCTTTCACCCGATATGGACAAGTTTGTGAAGTGTCCAAATCACCAGTATGCCAACAAAGAGTGAGAACTTTGCTTCCACAAAAAAGTGGCCTTTCTGTCTTTTGAAGATCCCCTGGGGATGACCCTGGTCTGCACAGCTCTGTGCTTCTCTGTCCTCACCGCTGTTGTTCTTGGGGTCTTTGTGAAGCACCGAGACACTCCCATAGTCAAGGCCAACAATCGTTGTCTCACCTACATCCTGCTCATGGCTCTCATCTTCTGCTTACTCTGTTTGCTGTTCACTGGTTGTCCCAACACAACCACCAGTGTCCTCCAGCAGACCACGTTAGGATTGGTGTTCACCATGGCTGTTTCCACTGTCCTGGCCAAAATTATCACTGTGCTTCTGGCCTTCAAGGTCACTGCCCCAGGGAGAAGGATGAAACACTGGCTGATATCAGGGTTACCTAACTCCATTATTCCCATCTGCTTCCTGATCCAACTGTCTCTCTGTGCCATCTGGCTTGGGGCTTCTCCTCCCTTTATCAACACAGATGCTCACTCTGAGCATGGCCACATCATCCTGGTGTGCAAGAAGGGCTCAGTCACTGCCTTCTATTGTGTCCTGGGTTTCCTGTTCTCCTTAGCCCTGGCCAGCATCACTGTGGCTTTCCTAGCCAGGAATCTGCCTGACAAGTTCAATGAAGCCAAATTACTGACATTCAGCATGCTGGTGTTCTGCAGTGTCTGGGTGACCTTCCTGCCTGTCTACCAGAGCACCAAGGGGAACATAATGGTGGCTGTGGAGGTCTTCTCCATCTTGGCCTCCAGTGAGGGGCTCCTTGGCTGCATCTTTGTCCCCAAGTGCTACATTATTCTCTTCAGACCTGAGAAGAATGCTTTGAAAGTATTAAGAGATAGAATAGTGTCCAAGGAAACATGTTTTCTCAGGAGTAGCTCTTAAGACTCTCTCAGTTTTCAATGGTTAGAAAGTAAAATTTATAAAATGATTTTGCATTCTGATGTTATAACTTGCAGAATGTAGCCTCCTTATGAACAATTTATACTTCACTTCATGCATTTTTGTTCTGAAACACTGATTCACAGAATCAGTGTTAGAGTGGGGGAAGCTTTCTATCTGGTGATAGACTCTGAAGATATCTGCAGTGGCCCAGTGCTGGTTCATACCAAAGCAAAGAGATTAATTCAGCTGTCCATGTGAGAATCAGGGACTTAGGCCATCTTCCACTGCATTTTCTGGATCATTAACCGTGAACTGGATTGTAAGTGGAAGAGCCAGGATACGAACTGGCACCCACATGGGATGGTAGGGTTACAGGTGGTGATTATATCCACTACACCCCCACACTGGCCCCAATCCTCCTCTCTTCTTAAAAATAATACTGTATAAAAATCTTAGTCTGGGTTTTATGTTCACACACAAAAACCCATCTCAGATAGAGGCCCTCCTTTAAAGTTTCATTTATGTATTTTCATTTTTAACTAGTCAACATTGTAATATTCATATTTGAATAAAATAAGTTTATTCCAAGGTATTTGATTATTTTTATGGCTATTGTGGATGAGATTGATCTTAGCAGTTCTTTCTCAGCTGTGGCATTGCCTCTGTATACAAAGGCTGTTGGTTTTTGTGCACTGATTTTATATCCTGCTACTTTGCCAAACTCTTCAATGAGTTCCAATTCTCTTAGTAGAGTTCTTGCCAAGTTTTTTCCCTTTAATTTCTTTGTCTTGCCTAATGGCTCTGGCTAAAACTTCCAGTACTATGTTGAATAGCATTGGTGAGAGTGGATATCTCTGTCTGGTACCAGATCTCAGTGGAAACGCTTCCAACATTTCCCTATTCAATAGGATGCTGGCTGTGGGTTTTTCATAAATCGCTTTGATTATATTGAGGAATGTTCCTTCTATACCCAGTTTACTTAGAGTTCTCATCATGAAAGGGTATTGTATTTTATTGAATGATTTCTCTGCATCTATTGAGATAATCATATGGGTTTTCTTCTGCAGTCTGTTAATG